GAAGATGCCGGCCACACAGCCCGGAAGACCCACACCAGCCTAAGTGACTTCTAACCTTCATCACAACAATTATAAACAAATTTAGTGACTCTTCACCTCCTATAAGGTTACCAACATTTATCTCTTCATCCATCCCATATCCCATTTCTTATCTATAAGCAAATTCATAAAACATCATCTTTTCAGTCCTGGTATCAGCAGAAAGTCCATAAAAGGTTGCCAGACGTAACAACGTATCTTGTTTTAACCTTGATCAAATAAACCAACCTTATATTCCTTCATTTTACTTCTAACAGTCTTAATCTTTAGTTCATTCAAATACTGTCATACGATTTGATTTCTCTTAATTTCTTCTTTGTCCCATTGCACAGAGTTCTTCAACGCTTTAACAAGTCTCTTCTGCAAATCCAATAGGAAAAAAAAAATCCAGTCACTCTCTCAGTTTGTCATTTATATTTCCCTTTTAAATTTTAAAACCTCAGCCAGTTTCTTTTGTAGATCCAGCGAAACATCCTTTTCTAAGTCATTCTCTTGGCCTGTCAGTTGTAAATCCACTTTCAATACCACCTCTGCCTTGTCAGCTAAACTTTGTTCTACCTCTGCCATTCCTTCCATAACATCTTACCCACTGAGGCAGACATCAGTATCAGCTTCTCTGCTCAGAGGCCCCTCCTTGGTGCCTTCACGCCCTGGACCTCAGCAGCTGCTCAGGGTGCAGGTTGTGCAAAACATGCAGGGTGCGCGGCCAACGCACCAGAGGGCGCTTCCAGCCCTGCCATCAATCCAGTTTATGGGTTTGCCCCATAAAAGTCAGCAGAAGTAGGCATTTGTAGGGCTTAACAGCTAGAGAGAGAAGGCGGGCAGCCTGCATATAAAAGCCATGGGAAAATATGAAAAATGTGTGGGTGGGCCAGAAGGGAATAAAGAAGGGCAGATACACCCTTTTCCAGGGTAACCCAGTTGGATTCCCACTCTCCTAGGATGCCAAAAAAGACAGGCAAGGAAGGCTGTCTTGGGGGTGGGCCGTTCTGGGGTCTGTGCACACAACACTCTTCTTTCTCTTTAGGGTAGTTCCTTTGGACACTTGCACTGAAACAAAGCTGTCAGGGCAAGAACGGACAAAACAAGATCTTTGGTACTTTATTAAAATCAGCCATTTGTCCATGGTTAGCCTGCTCATTGTCCACAGTGCCTTTCGGTATATCGTAATGAAAAAATGAGCTCAAACGCAGGAGATAAAGAAGAAGGAAACAAATTGTGTAATAGTAATATCCATGTGGCTCAACCCTTTATCATGTTGTTAAATCTGGATCTGTAGAACAGTGTTTGTCATCCTCAGCGACTTTTAAGATGGGTGGACTTCAGCCAGCTGGCTGGCTGGGGAATTCTGGGAGTTGAAGTCCACCCATCTTAAAGTCGGTGAGGTTGAGAAACGCTGCTATGAAAACAACCTGCTTCCTCTTGCCTACCCCAAGTGGGAGCCGAAAAGACAGAGACCTCCCCAGTTGCTGGCTACAGATGGCGGAAGATGTGACCGAGCAGCAGGAGGAGAAAAGGAGATAAAGACTTTTCAAATACTCACTCTTTAACCTCTGGAGCCTCTTTTCTTGCCATCTGCGTAGGATGATTCTCCCCGAACCCCAGGCTGGAGGGAACCAGAGTTCAGATCAGAATGTCAACTTCCTTTGTAATTCAGCGGCTGTGTAATTTGTTGTAATTTGCACCTTTAACTACAATTGTCCCAGAAGGGCTCCGTTAACACATTTAGGGGTTTGAGACCAGAAAGGAGCCATAACGGAGCAGGACCAAATCACATGAGTCAGAAAACTCTCAACGCAAAAAGTGGGATATCCAAGCTTTTTAAAACATTCTTTGGGGAGCCCAACACAGAACAAGAATGTCTGATGAATCAACTCCATCCCTTAGTGATAAGAAGTGTATGTAACGTTTCTTTAACATTTTCCAAGATTAGATATTCCACCTCCTTATTCCACATATCATATAAATTACCAATATTGACTTTCATTGGATTGTACTTTTGTACAGAATTGTTGGTTTAACTTTCAATTCAGCTTTTCTTAAACATTCACATTTTTCAGGTGTCTGTGAAGCTGAGGTACCTGGCCCATATTATTTTAATAATTACTGTTTTAACTGTACATACTGTCATGTGGAATGATTCAGGTAAGTTATGTTCAACACGTAGCCTCTCAAACTTCTCAGGGTTCTTAGGAGGAGCTCCAGACCCCCTGTTCTCGTTTCCCACCATCTGGGAGCCCCTTCAGTCAGGTATCATTCGGCTAAGTCGGGGAAGGGCGGAGGGTCTCTCGCCCCGCAAAAGGGCCTTTTCGCTCTCCTGGCTCCGATATTTCCTACCCAAATGCAGGACTTGCGCTTTCTCTCTCCTCATCCAAGTCGAAACTCGCAGAAGGATCAAGGCCCCGAACAGAGCCCCCTGACCTTCCCCTCGCCACTCCCCCCCCCCCCGGGGGGATGGGGGGGGGGGGTCGTTTTTTTGGGGAGGGGGCGTGGCGCGGGGGGGGGGGCGTGGCAGGGGGACTGGTCAGGGGCTCCGTTCGGGGCCCCGACCCTTCTGCGGGTTTCGACTTGGATGGGGGGAGGGAAAGCCGGATCGCCGACTTTGGG